GGGGACTAAATTATGCACACCTATACGGCTGTTATGGGGAAAATGCATACACCAGTGTAGTTTGTCTGTCACTAACTGTCTAACATGCGAATTAACCCATGAGCAGTGACGCTCATGAGACAAATGACTGAGGTCCGAATTTATATCGCCCAGCAGGGGCTGACTGGTGCAGGTAACGGACCGAATTACCCGATGTGTGAGTCTTTAGTGCGATGATACCCTATGCTTGGACGCGATGGGGACCAATAAACTTAAAATAACCACGAATGCCTCTTTGACCTTCTCGGTAAAACTTCTCGATAATTGGTTGAAGGCTTTAAAGGTGATTTCAAAAAGACGCCATCTTTTTCTACATACTGGTTGATAAATGTACATCGTCTGATATGTTGCCTTCTCACACGTGACTTCCAGTCACGCAAAAATTTTTCCTCACAAAAAACTCCTACTAAAATAACACACAGCGCTTTAAGTGCCCTAGGTGTTTATTTGGAGCCCGTTTTCCACTGTTGGAAAGAAGAGCAAGTCGGAAGGACAGCGGTTAAAAGCACGGGGTGCCTTGGATACAAGGAAATATGCTACTCAAATATGAGCAGGGCGAAAGTTATGAGGGAAACAGTTTTGAGTGTTCGTCTGATGCAATTTCTGATGAGGAGTTCGGGTATGCATCCGGAACAGTAGGAAATGAAAACTATTGTTCCAGCGATCGCATTTCCTCCTTCTATACTACCTCCTGGGACTCGTATCTTTGTTTTTATCGACAATTCATATCCCTAATGCATAAGCAATTAATCTTTGCTTCGCCAGGTGACTTCACATCTGAGGCATTTGTTCCCAAGAGCTGAATATAACTGGGGAAATTTTGTCTATCAATTCAGGAAAATGTAGCTTATCTTAAACAAAAATAGAAAAGTAACTCAGGAACACGTAGAAAGTCTCCACTAAGGTCGGCAGGCTAGCGTGCGTAAAATCAGAAAAAAACATTGAGGCACTGCTATTTCAGAAAGGGGTTCAAGGTATCTCACGCAATGTCTTTCATAAGTCACACCATAAATTTAAACAAGAAGTGGAATGAGGTCGATCTCCCGACACATAAAATCTGCCACTTGAAAGGCACACAACACCCGCGCTTCAAGGCGCACAAACAGACATAAAAAGGCGACAGTTGCGTGCATAAATAGTTTATTGTATGTGTAATTAACACACAATACTACGAACAAGAAGCATTTTGAAGGAAGACAAAGGCAAAAACAAAGGCTGTCGACTGCCTTCGTCAGGGCTAATCAAAAGTTGCCACCTAGCGACTGTCCTAACGAGGGGTAATACAGTTTTGCAACCTATCCTTGTTGACTAACGCTGACGTCAGGGGGTCACGAATCGGAGCGAATGTTCGCATTTTAGGTGTATGAGCAGGGACTTCTACGTGCTCGCTCACTGAGGACCTAACCAGAAACAGTACCTATGATATGCAGTCTCTGTCACCAATCAAGGCCGTACCTACGAAAAAAGAGGGCATTGCACAGAGACTAGGTGTCAGTATTGCAAAGCCACCATGCGCAGTAGAATCATGAGAATCAAGGACTGATTAAATTGTAGTGAGCAGTCGGTTAAAGTGTACCGCATCCCATGTCCAAGCTGTCCTAGCAACTACAAAGGACGGACTTGACGCATGCTTGGATCGCGCACACGCGAACATGAGCTGTGACGGATTATCACAAGTGGCTGGCCTCACCTACGAAACGGGCCACGAGTTTAACTTCACAGCCCGCACTGGAGGCACTTTAGGCCGCGAATAGATTGAGGCCTCGGCTTCTGATGCGAACTAAGTTAATCGATTTGCTAATGACATAGGGAGTTATGCACTGTCACCTGACTACTGATACTCTCCTATATGAGTTCGAAGGCTCAGATAAATAAAGAAAAAGTAGTTCTGCGATCGAACAGCCATCTTCTGCCACCAGTTCCTGTGCGGGTTCAGTTTGCTGTGAGGGCGGATCGTACCTCCTCCTCCCCCCCTCAATGCCTGCAAAGGCTGCGACCTCAATTATAGGGGGGGGAGACTTACGAACCTTGTACCTCATTTTCGTTTTTCCCACTAACCAGGTTTCAACAGTGAGACAACCGGTCATGTATGTCGGCGCACACCTGGTTCTATTTTCACTGTCAACCGCAAACAAACATAACCATGTGGAAACAGAAACACTGGTTAATTGAAATAAATGTCCAGGCATATGACCATCTTGGCCAACGAGACAGTGTCTTTTTCATGCCACCGTGGTAAAAAGGGCAAGATGGTTCGGTAAAGATTCCTCTCGAAACATGTGACACAGGAATAACCATAAGGTCACGCAAATATAGTGGGTTCGACAAAAGCTCTATGGCCCAGGTGGTTCAGTTTCTCGGAGGGCGATAGGTGAGACCTGCGATCGGACATGCAAAAGGAGAGAACCCCTTAAGATTAAGTACCTATGGATAAGGTAAAGGCAACGTGCACGACTTTTAACTTGACTTAATTTTCATATGCCAAACGAAGGGCTGGAAGCACAGTATTTTGAACGTTGCATGCCAGGAGATCGGTGCCTGTGCGATGTACCCACTTTACTTTACGATTCCCGCATCCCTCCTGCTTCGGTAGCACAAAAAGTTCGAAATAGCTAGAAATTGGTGGAGATACAGCTAGGTAACAAAGTTTAAACGCAACCCGTCTACGCGTGCCACACACAATCCGGACCAAAAATCATCGCGTGTTTGAACCTCATATGGGGGCGCCAGAAAGAGGCCGTTGCAGCCTAGGCATCGGTTCTGAGTAAGAGCGCGTTCTCCCGTTAGGCTCCAATCAAGTCATGTCATTTTCAAGTCGCGGTCGGCTGATTATAGTGAGGAACTAAACGCTGAATCGCCGAGAGTGGACACACTGGCTGACGTGCCATAAAGTTACCGTCCTCCGCG